AGGATGTCTCAAAACACATGAAAAGTGGGAGAAGGATGAAGAAATAGGCAGGGTCAGATCAGGGAAGAACGTGGACTTATGCAGCACATACAGAGAACCAGGGAAGGATTGGTAGCTGGGAAAAGATACCATCAGATTGTCTTACAGCTGTTTGTACAAATATAGGGAGTTGAAAAGTAGAGAAAATTCCCCAAGTGAAGTGAAATGTGGCTCCCAAAGTATTCTCTGATTTCTCTAAACTGAAGGAATTGTGTTGCTCTCTTACTCTTCAGATATCTCTGCCTTTTATTTTTGTATGTACTGCCTTTTAGCTTAATAAATATTGTTGCTGTGTTTTTTGGTGCATAAATATTCCTAATGCTTACAGCACCATGGTAGGTTGCAATAAAGTTCCCACCTTTGTGTCATTTACTGTTTTGTGCCCTGAATTCAACCTTGTCTGTTACATGTCTGATATTAAAATTAAGATCTCTCATTTTTGTTTTTATTTGCTTGTTTGCCTTTGCTGGTTAGGCCTTGGGCCATCCTTTTATTTTTAACTTTCCAGTCACTCTGTTTTGTGTCAAAGCACAAAATTGTTTTTTGCTTTGTAATTTGAACTGAGAATCTGTTTATTTTGACTAATACATTGTTACTCATATTTTTTGATACCATAGATATGTCTGGACTTAGTTTTGACATCATATACTTTCTGCTTCTGTTGCTTCTTTTATCTTTCACTTTTGGGCTATGGCTTGTTTAATTTTAATTTGGTTTGTGTGTAGGTTCATAGAGATAATTCAGAAGGTTTTAGAAATTTTGTTCTTTAATTATTTATCTTTATAATACTATATATAATGTATTTAATCCTCTAGATCCTTAGTAGCTATTAACAGTCAGCTCTGCAAGATGATGAAATTTATATATTTCCTCTTCTCTAGACTCTCACTTTCCTACCACACCCAATTTTAATTGATGGTGATGATGATAAAGATGATGATGATGATGATATTCTGCTAATCTTAATTTTATAATTTTTAATATGTATTTCTTTCTATTCCTTGATTCGTCAGCCCTAAGTGGTAACTTTTGACCTTTGGCAACTTTTCACCTTATGTCTCTCTTTACCTTCTGAATTTTGTTAATTTAAGTGTTTTTAAATGTTATTATAGTTCATCAATATTTACACTGTTTTCTCTAACCATAATTTTCACAGTTTTGTTTTTTAATCCTAAACTAAATTCATTAAAAACTCACCACCAGGCCTTTTGCCATAATTTTTTCATTCTCTACTGATTGGTTAAATCCAACCTTTAGTTTCTTCAAGACAAGGTTCCAGTAACCACATTTTGGGGGTTATTGGATGTTTTGTGCAGCATTTGTACTTGAACAACAGTTAGAGCATGAAAAATTTTATGTTCCTTATTTATTTTTAATGATGTTTTGTAAGTTTTCCATGTTGCTGTGGAAAACTCTAAAACCAACTTAATTTTCCCCCTTAGGAAAAGAATGCTGTTTCTGGTTTTGGTTTTATTTTGTTTGTTTTGGTTTTCGTTTGTTGGTTTGAATGGCAAAAGAGTCTTTCTTTACCTTTCGGGTTGATATTTCCGTATCAATTTTTCCTGAGACTGTTTGTAATTTTTTTTATTTTGCTTTGCTTTGTATATAGATTTAAATATTTTATTTTTTGAAAATGTTTTGTAAATATATTTGTACAAATATATTTTCTATTTTATTTTTGGTACCTTTTTTCGAGTATTACATTTATGCATATGCATAGCTCTATTTTATCTTCCATATCTATCATATTCTTTCTCTATTCCTTTTTTACTGTTCATTTCCACTGTGTTGTGCTCACTGGATCAATCCTGTTCTTGGGTTTATATTTTCATTTTGGGCAGCGTCTGTTCACCTTTTTGTTGCTTCTTATGGGTCCCTAATTTTTGTGATGACTTTTTTGTTTCTCCTCTACTTTTTTTCTGAGCTCTACTAGATCTTTTTTTGGTGTGTGTGGGGGGCTCTCCTTTCCTTCCATTGTCTTGACATTTCTTTCTTGATAGTTTATTTTATAGAAGTAATTTTCTTCATTAAAGTTTGTTGACTTTCATTTGTATGTTTGTCTATGTTAATTTGCTTGATACTGTTTTGGTTAGCTTGATGGCAACACAATTTGGTATCTATTCTTATGCCTTCCTCATGGGAATACAATAGGCATTTGGGAAATATATGTGTTCATCTCTGCTTTCTCTTGGGTCTACAAGTAACACCAAAAACTGTCCTACATGCTCCAAACACTTTAGTGTCTAATCCCAGGAAAGAGTCCTCATTCTTTTTATTTTATTTTATTTTTTCAATTACAGCTCATTCCTTTTAGAGATCTTCAATGGATGGTTTACTTCCTTTGTGTTCTTTGCCTTGAGTCATTCAGACATCTCCAAATTGCTCATGCTTTATATCCTTCTCACTGTTGAGCAGACAGCAATTGGCTGCTCATACCTGCCCATGCATGGCGTGTCCATGCCCGCCTGGACATTAAGACTAAGATAGGTAGGACAGGAGGAAGGTGAGGGCCCAAGAGATGCATGCCCACAGTCCACATTAGTGCTGTTCCCAGAAGCACAATGAATGACCAGCCATCTCTGCCACAGCTGGGCACATCAGTGCTCTTTCTTCCACATACACATTGATATTACTCCTATAGTCCACAGCACCAAAGCAGCACTCCCACTTATATGCCTAAAAACCTACGCCCACCCTCACCCTACCCCTGCCCTAGGGACCTGTATGGGTTTTCTAGGGCCACCAAGCATCTTGGTTTGCCTGGAACAGTCCTAATTAATATCTGGTGCCCTGTCCAGTTAAGCAATTATCCCAGTAGAAAGTGATTTTTTTTAAGTGATAAATGATGTGCTCTTCCTAGTTTAATTTAATGGTTAATTTTCAAAGAGCAGTATGAGTTAGAATGTCTCTGGTTATAAGCAAAGTTCTTTTATTCTTCCTGTCTTTATAGAAAAATATTAGGACTCACCAAGAGAGTGAGGCAGACAGGGACCTGAAGTCCAGGTATGCAAAAGACCTGTGGCAGGTGATAGGGAAAAAGTTGAAAATGCAAGCACTAGCAGGGATGTCAAACGGGCTCAAAGAAGTTTTGTGTGAGACTGAATGGAAGAATCTATCCTATAGATTAGGAGGGGTGGGGGCAGGACTGTAGGCTCAGGAGAGGTGCTTTAGAATAATACAATCCCCAGGCCAGGAAGAAGGGCGTTTATGGAAGCAGACATTTTGTGTAGCTCTCTCTCTCCCCCCTCCCTATCTGCATCTGCACATTCTGGCCAATAATGCTGCAGTGATTTCTCTCTGTTATTTCATTTATGGCAATGACTTCAGGTCTTGTGTCTGGTCATAATGGTGATCTATGTATGCCATCTACAATGGGCATGGCTAATGAATCCTATTTTATTTCTTAATTAAGAATTTGAAAGTACCGCAAATTACTGCAATTAACATGGATTTTCTTACTCATTTATTTACTTATTTAGATGCCTGAAATTGCACCCTTAGCTTAAACCAACCGCAGGGTTCAGAGCTTGTTAAAATATATAGCATTCATTAAAATATTTATTCTTCCCCAACAGTAAGGGTTGCTATTTGGAAATGGTAGTAGTATCTATGTATACAAAATACTTCAAAAAAAAATATCTATTGAATTCAGTCCATTCAGTTTAGTAATTATAAAAGTTGAATTTATTGTCAACCCTTTGTGTGACTAAAATAAACTTAAGATTTTAGAAATAGCCCATTGTTATGATGACTTCAATCAGTATTGTCGTTTTCCATCTCAAAGTTCTTGGAGAATATAAGTATCATCACATTTTCAGGACTTCAGTATTCATTGAAAGACAAGAATAACAATTTGAGGGTGGTTGAATTCCCCAGACTGATTTCAAAACAATGGTAATTAGAATAAAGTGGTTAGCATCAAATTCTCTGGCAGTTTTCAAGATTCAACCTTAGCCTTCTTTCTTGGGTTTTTGTTTTGGTTTCTAACTGGTTTGCATGGGGACAGCTCAAGATGGAGTGGTTGAAATTAACCAAAAATGCACTCTGAACTACAGCCAGCAAGAGTGTCGATGGGTACAATCCTACAAGAAAGTAATTGAGAATTAGCTTATCAAAAGCTTTAAAAGATGCATACCCACTGAAACCCAGCTATTCTACTTTAAGGAATTTATCTTTAGAAAACTAATAATGTATATCAACATTTAACTACAATAATATTCATTGCAGCCCTGTTTATAATATCAAAACAATAAAATAACCAAACATTATAACCAAAACATGAAACAATAAAAGATTGAGTAAATTATGATACAGCCTTATTTGAAATACTAAACATCTATTAAAAACTTTGTGGCGTGTATTAATTATCTATGGCTGTGTTACATCAAAATTTAACAGCTTAAAACAACAAATGTATTATCTCAAGGTTTCTGTGGATCTGGAATCTGAGCATGCCTTTACTGGGTCCTCCAACTTAGATCTTTCACAAAGTTACAATCAAGGTGTTTGCAGGAGGTATAATCATCTCAAGGCTTAACTGGGAGAGGATCCACTCTCAAGCCCCAATCAAGTGATTGCTGGCAGGATTCAGTTCCTCCAGGGCTGTTGGTTGGTGGTCTCTCTCCTTAGTTCCTTGCCATGTGGGCATTTCTATAGTGAAGTTCAGAGAAAGCAAGCCAGAGAGTAAGAGAGGGTGAACAAGATAAAAGACGAAGTCTTTTTGTCACCTACTCCCAGAAATGACATCCCAACACTTTGGTCATATTCTGTTCGTTAGAAGTCAGTCGATGATCCAGTCCACACTCAGTGGAAGCAGATTACACAATTACACAATGGTGTCAGTACAAGAGATCATTGAGAACCATCTCAGAAGCTGTCAACCATAAAGTTGAAGTTTATTGGCGGAAGAAATTCATAATATCTTATTCAATGAAAGAAATGCAAATCACAAAACAGTATGTGCAGCAGGATCCCTGTTTTGTAAACTAAAAACAGTAGAAAAGATACATGCATCCATACATAAATATTCATGGAACAATCTGGAAGTGTTCCAGAGGTTAACAGTGGTTATATTTGACGGTGGAATAACAGATGAGTTTTATGTCCTGTTTCTTAATCTGTATTTTCTATTTTTCCTAAAAAGAACATGTATTATTTACAATTTTAAAGAGAGTAAATGTGATTAAATTTTTTAGAAGCAACATAAACTCTCCAGGTTTTGTTTCTGACATCCACTATCTTTACAGGACTGTGTGTTGCTTACTGCTTGAAGTCTACTAAGTAGAGGTTTACAAGACCTTCTCTGGAGCCCACTGATACCACTGTGACCAAGGAAATTGTGAGTGCGTTCTAGAACTTGTTGCTGTGCTTGTGTCTTCTAAAGCTGCTGTTATAACCAATAATGATTCCATGGAAAACTAAAATTATTTTTCCCCTCTGGGGTGACTAGGATTGGGAACTGTGATTGACCTGAGAGAGGGGGCAGGGGGGTCTGTGAAGCAGATCTTCTTCACTATGAGTCGATGTCTTTCCACCCAATTCTGGTTGCTTCTACATGTGGGCTAACATGATCTCGTGGCCATCTCCTCTGCAAAATTTCAAAGGGATAGGTTCTACTTATATGTGAAAAATAGATGAATGGATCTGACAATGCTGAACATAATTGCAAAAAACTGAGAAGATGTGAGAGAGAAAAGATAAAGCTATTAATAACCGTTGTACTTCGTTAGTTTTCCCGCCTTACGCCACCAAGGGGGGCCTGAGTTGGGATGCCACAGTCAGGGTTGGAATGACTTCCCCAGTAATGTAAATATTACCTTAAGGTCACATATAAAAACTACTGTTTTGCCAAGGACAGGTTGATGGTTGTTTGACAAGCAAACTGGTTGCTTTATGCCTATGTAGAGCACAAAGAAAGCTGCTCAAAATGGGCAAGCTGGTGTCAGTGGGGAAGGAAGGCAACGGTCCCCAAGATGGCAGGGGATTAGGACCAGATTGGAAATTCTAGTGGGTCTCTTTCCACTGAGATCTGTAATGGAATAGCTGTTGTAACAGATAACACTGAAACTTGGGTGGCTTAAAAAAAAAAAAAAAAAAAAAAGATTATTTTCCCTCAGTAAGGTCCAAATGGGTTTTTGTCCAAGTGGTGATTCAGAAACCCATATGTCTCCTCTCTGTGGCTTCATTATCTTCTAGGGCCTCTGAGTTTTACATTGTATTCTGTGCATGGAGCTGGTTCACTGGGAAGGAGAAAGTGAGGGTGGCACACCCACTTCCTACCAACCTTGGCCTGCAATTGATGCACATCACTTTCACTCACACCCCATAGGTGAAAACTACTCATGTGGATCTCTCCTCCGTGAAAGTGGCCTCGGGATAGTTCTGGGCTGGCGGGTACTTCACAACAATTCCACTGTGTGGTAGAAGAGCACGTGCCGGAGGCTCTGTTAGGAAAAATCACAGCATTAGAAACCACCAATAGAGGAAATTCTTAGTGGACATTCATCTAACAATCACAGAGCAGGGGATTGGTTGACTTATCAATGGCTGTTCGAGTGGTGAATCATTCTTCCCTGTGTGAAGAAACTTCTTATACCAACCACACCTCCTTCTCTTGGGGAAGGCAACACGCCACTGGCAACAAGGCTCTGGAGACTCAAGTTTTCCTCCACTGGAAGTGCTGGCTGTGCTTGCCAAGGCTGGAAGTCAGCAAAACTCACTGGGATCTCAAGATATCACCTTTCAAACTCTTTCTCTCCCTCTCTCTCTCTCTCTCTCTGTCCCCACCCCCGACCTCCCTCTCTCTTATCTCTCTCTATCTTTGCCTTAGTTTTTTGTTGTATAAAATGACAATAATAGGACCTACCTCTTTGGGTTATTATAAAGTTCCAAGGAGATAATTCAAGAAAGGCCACACAGTACATGTTACTGCAGCACATGGGTAGCTTCCCCAGCAAGCACCATACACATGAATAATCCTGGAAGGTCTTACTGGCACTACCATAATTGCTGATTCTTGTAATATTGTCGTTGCTATTGAACAACTATTGTAATGATTAGCAGTACTGCCAATAATAAAATCATAACATCTCTTTTCTATGGCGCTTTAGCATTTAGGTATTTGACTCTTAGGACAACTTTAGATAGTGGAAAGGAGTCACACTATTATCACATCTATTACATAAATGAAAGAACTAACCCCCTGGAGGCTAACTCATAATGACCAAGATGATCTCACAATAGCCCAGTAAAACTCACCCCTTGATTCTCAAACCCAAGTCTTTAACAAAATTATACTATGATACCAAATGTAAAATGGGATCTTCTCCAAATTAATGGAATCTTTGAAGAGACCTAGTCTCACTCCCTCATTGTTCAGATGAGTCAAGGATGCCTGTGAGGATTATTCCTTACCTGCCACTGACCTCAAGTTGTCTTAACTCCTTCAAGGTTGATCAGCTGGATTGCACCTGGGTTGTTGGGGAGGTGCAAGTACCATTGGTGTTGGTGATGTCCTCTTACAGAGGCCGTGCTGTAGAGGTTCCTGGACATTTCTTCAAGGAACATGAGTGGGGCCTCAGGAGGGATGAACATGAGTGGGGCCTCTGGTATGTTTGGAGACATCACTGGCTACCATCACAAACCCTAGTAGGCAGTGGACAGTCTGGAATCCACTTCTGGTTTCTTATTCCCACCCACCCCACCTTTCAACTCTTTGGCCTTTCGTAGCTAATTTTAGTGAACAATTCTTTATAGACTTTATATGTTCTACTAAGTACAAAAAATAACTGTTTTAAGAAGCCCTGGATTTTCAGTAGAAAGTCTTTGAAGACAGTGTTTGACCCTGCATTGAGTGACTCCAGCTGCCAGGAGCAATGAGCTGTAGTAGACATAGACCCCAGCCCCTAGTCCTGGACCTGCCGCTGACTGCTAGGATGATGCAAGAGTAATCTGGACTCAGAGGAGCCCATGTTTGTCAGATCTGCCAAATCTAGTGGATGATGTCCATCCTCTCTACTTCCTCCAATGTCTTACGGAAATAATGAGAATTTGGGGATCAAACAAGGGAGTAGACAGAAGGTGTTTGAAAAGCATACCATGCCAGATGAGTGTAGCAGAAAGTCATCATCATCACTGTGCTATTGCCATTATTGTTTTGTGGTCATCTCAGCTTTTCTTAACACAGAGCAGTTAATGAAGTGGCAACTACATTGGTTACCCACTGGGAGGGTGAAGGAGCCAATTGAGGCTTCATTTTTATCCCATTTCAGTGTCCTGTTTTTCTTTCACAGCAGCTGTATCTAGTGGGTTTATAAGTATTTTAAATACAGTCATGTTGTATTATACTTGCTCCTGACAAAATGCAGGCTAAGGATCTTTTTTTTATTAGTATTCCTAAAAATGGTGGATTTCTCTAAAGACTGAGTTAACTTTTTCACCAGCAGCCAGAAAACTGCTCCCTTTGATCCCACCTCTAAGCATGGTATCTACAACTTTTAACAAATTATTTTCAGCATAACCGAAATAATAAAAATGTGTTTGCAATGTCCACTAGTAAAAAGAAAAATGACAAAATCCATTAGTCATTAGGCTTTGTTTCATAAATGGGTCACCAGCTGAAAATAATTTTTCCCATGACCATAAGGAATAGGAATAGGAAATTCTGGGAATAGGAAATTTAGAAATTAACATAAAGACAAACCAGAAGAGTTAGATAGACAAAGAGAAACCATCTTACTCCTGGTTCTGGTGTATGGTCATTCTGTTGCTTACTGCAGTATTTCAAATAGGTCTGCCTTAGCATAATCATCAAAAAGACAAGCAAACACTGCCTTAATAGAAGAAAAAGATAAATTTTGCTAAGTAGAGAGTAATCCAGACAGTTAGGACTATAAAATGTCAAGTTGAAAAAGGCTTTGCAGCATATAGCCCAAAATGACCATTTTACAGGTGAGAAGATTAAGGCTCAGACAGGTGAAATGCATGTCCAAGACCATACACAAGAAAAAGTATTAAGATGACCCCCCAATGGAGTGTATTAGTTTCCTGTTGCTGCTGTAACAAATTACTGCAAACTTACTGGCTACAGGCAACACAAGTTTATTCTCCTACAGTTCTGTATGTCAGAGGTCTGATGTGGGTCTCACTAAACTAAAATCAAGACATCAGTGGGGCTGGGTTCCTTTCTGGAGACTCTGGAGAGGATCCATTTCCTTTTCCTTTCCAGCTTCTAGAGGCTGCCCACACTCCTTGGCTTACGGCCCCATCCTCCATCTCCAAAGGCAGTAACACTGCACCTCTCTGACCATTCTTCAGCAGCCGCACCTCTGACTACATCCAGGAAAGATTTTCTGCTTTTAAGGACTCTTGTGATTAGATATGGTCTACTTGAATAATGCTGGATAATCTCCCTATCTTGAGTTCAGTGACTTTTACCGCATGTGCAAAGTCCCTCTTGCCATAGAAGGTAAGACATTCACAAGCTCCTGGGCATTAGGGCATGGGAATCTTTCAGTTGGGATGGGTGTTATTCTGCCTACCACAGGGAGAAAAGAAAGATGGTGAGTCAATAGAGAGATGGCTGATTGTGCAAGAAAATGAACACTGTTGCAGGTTGGGGTCCTCAAGAATCAGACTCTAACATGGAGTTCTATGTGTTGGAAGTAGAAGGGCTCTCAGGATCAATCTCTGTAGGGAAAGGGAAGCAAAGGAGGCATAAATAGGCAGAGGGAGGAGCTGGACTGTGGTCTTGTCACAAGACCTCAGCTGACCCCATGGGGATCCCTGGAATGGGAGGGCTCTTCACAGTTGTCAAGAGGGGCTGGGTCTTTAAATTCTTTTCTCTCTGATTGCTATGACCACGCCTAGCGGTCACAAGATATGGGCTACCCTAGAAGCTAGGGTGACAAAGTCAGCTCTCTTGTGCTCAGGACAACTCCTAATAGCTAGAGTAATATGTCCTTCACTCATGAAGGAGGATTAAGCTGACAACCATAGCTACAACTAGCATACCTATTCCTAAGCTTCATGTTTACATGTGAAAAACTAAAATAAAATAAAGTAAGTTGTGGTCTTGTTTGGAATGAAACATGATTGGTAGATCTCACAAAGTTGTCCTAGACTCAGAACTTAGGAATCAGAATGAAAAGAGTCATGTGTTTCATCCCTGGTGTTAGGCTAGATGAGATAGGGCCTTGAAGGAGAGGAGAATCTGTGATGTTGCATGAACATGGGAGCAAGAGAAGGCAAGGATGACATGGGAAGAGGAGAATGAGATGGGGTCAGAAATGGTGTGGATCCCAGAGGAAAAAATAGGCAGATCGTGAGTTCTGGGGACTAAGATCCAAACACAGGTCAGAAATCCAGGGTTCTGCCCAAATCACAGCAGAGAAGTGGCCATTGTCAGCGGCTGAAGGCAGGATAGGTAGTCCTGATATTAGCTTAGAAGGATTCCAGCAACTTCTTCTAGTAGGTACTGGAGGTCAAAAGGGTAGAGTCTGTGGTCAGCTGTGGAGGTGGCAGGAGAAAAGGTAGGCATCCAATTTCAATAGAGCTGAGGAAAGAGCAAGAACTTAATTCCCAGGGAAAAGGGCATTCTGTGTTAGATTAAGCAAGTGGGACACAGCTTCACATCATCTGGCCCATGAACGTCATTTGGCCCAAGCCCAAGTCTGATTCTGGTGCAGAAACAAGAGATGCTGTAGTCGTCTGAGTAGTGAGGGTTAGAAATACGCCTGGGCAGGGCCACATGCTCACTCCAGGGGAAGTGCTCTCACATTGTACCAGGGCTGACCTCAATGTTCATTTTAACTCTGCAAGGAAGGTACGAAGAGTGATAAGTCCCCACCCTTAGATCCCCAACATTCTCATTCCCTCAGATCAGTGAGAGGCTGGGTCTGAGCCAGCATCTGCACAAGGATGGCTCTGCCTGTTGGTCCAGACAGGCATTCTGGACTCCCCAACCACCTCCGCTTCACACATCCAGGTTGCAAAGCCTAAAGGAAATGGTATTTAAGGAGGAGACTTTCTACACCTTCCAGGAGAATGTGGAGACATTGCACAGAGCCAACCGTACTTGGAGATAAAATGGGTTTGGTTCTCCTACATACCTTGATTCAAGTAGGAGAAACATCACTGCCTGCCTGCAGGTCATTTTCCGTGTGTAAATGTCAGCAAGAACACTCATAATATAATGCCTGTAGATCCATGCAGGGCTTCACATCTAATCAAACACTTTAACCTATATTATTTCCTTTGAATTTCACAATACTCCTTGAGGGAGGGAATTACTATACTCATTGTAAAGAAGAAAAAATGGAGATTCAAAGAATTTAGGTACCTTACCTTAAGTCACAAAGTGAGAGTCTGAAATGGGGCTCAGGTCTTATGCATCTAAGCTGCCCCCAATGCATTATCATGATAATCTACCCTGGATGTGAAAACCTTTGCATCTCATAACACTGGAAGTTTGGAAGAAAGGAGAGTCAGGAAGGATAGAGAACTCTGGCAGAAAAATAATCTGAATTTCATGTTTTCTCTCAAGCCATCTCAGCATTGTTCTTTTTAACTCTTTTTACTTTAGTTTTTGAAGTCTTCAAAGCATTCTCACACCCTTAGCTCATCCGATCAGCTCAGCAATCCTGTGAGGTAGGCAGAGCAGAGCACACAGGTGAGGAAACTAAAAGCCAGAGAGGTCAGGGGCCTTGCCCAAGAGTAGATGGGCATTTGGTGGCAGGGTTAGGGGGGCAACCTAGGTCGTGGAGGGCAGTAGCCTTTGGAATGGGGGTGAGATGGGAGAGAAGTATGCGCTGAAAGAGGTAGGAAGGAAGCATTGTATTAAAAGATTAATCAAAATTCATTTGAAAGTCGAAAGGGTCAGTAACAGCCAAAGGACTTTTGAGAAAGAATACCAAAAAAAGAACCTTATACCTCAGACATAAAAACACATGATAAAATACTATGAGAGAGGTATAGGGATGCAGAGACCAGTGGAATAAACTATGAAGTCCAGAAAGAGAGCCACACCTTTTGGGAAATTGATACATGATAGAGATGATTACAAACAAGTAGGCAAAGTATGGATTGTTTGATACATACTCTTATAGAAATCAGCTCTTCAT